GTCTTTTTTTTTTCTTTTGAGCACAAAAATTATTCTCGTAGCTTCGTAAAATTACAGTTGAACCCCTGATGTCTCTGGACTTGGGAACATTTCAGTTGCGTTGCTGTCTATGCAGGATCAGACAGCTCTCAGATTCCATCAAAAATATCTTAATTTGTGTTCCAAAGATGAACGAAGGTCTTACGGGTTTGAAACGACTTGAAGGTGAGTAATTAATGACAGAATTTTCATTTTTGGGTGAACTAACCCTTTAAGTGCTTTACTCAAGAGTACAGAGGCGACAGCAGTATATTTATTTCAGTATTTCTACAGCTTCATGGTAAACCCTGCTTTAGAGGCTCTGACACTTAAACGTAAGATGCCACCCTAACGCTGAATGTACTGCACAATAACTGATTATAATAGTGTATCTTATGTAATATTACTGTAATATGTAATGAAAGTCAGAAAATGTCTCCTTAATATCTCAGTTGTCTCTCCTAGACAGCAATGATTTTCAATGGAGAGCACGTTTGCTTAAATACAGTGATGATACGTACCCTTGTACAGAAAGAAGTAGTTCAATCACCACTTTGGCTTTGGCCTTCACTTTGCCCAGACCTTCCTGTGAACTCGTCCTGTATCAGAACAGAAATGGCAGTATACATTCATCATACAATTAAAAGAGGCTTGTGGTAGCATTTTAGTTTATGTATCATATATTAGTTCGTATACATGTTTAAATCAATAGTGATTCTGAAATTTCAGACATACGTTTCCAGCTGAAGGTCGATCTCGACCTCTTTGGTGTCAAGCGATATCTTGCCAGTGCTCAATATGATATAGAATGTTACCTACAAAAAACATTTGTATTAAAATGACAATTTATAAATTAGAGTAATATTGCATCTTTGAAGTAGTACTGACCTCTGAATCTCTTTTAAAAGGATTTCCAAGCTCGCAGTCTGCCAGGGAGCCATTCTGATTGGCAGCACAGATCACATGTTTATCCTGCAGGATGACATGGGTTTGGTTACACAACATCATGGCATACAATATAGTTGTATTTAAGGCTTTACGGTTTGCTAGTCTCCTATTGTGAGGACTGTGAGGAAAAAAAGAGATCATCATAATGGGAAATTGAGCCATTTAGTCTACTGAATCCCTTACAAAACCAAATGACTCTAAAAACAACAAGATAAAGAGTTTATAGAAATAGGGTAACAATATTTTTGTTTAATGGTGAAATAATGAATGGAATCCTTCTGAAAAGTGATGGAATTTAGACATAGATTTGTGACCCACTTACAGTAGTTCTCAGAGATCTGAATCCAGAGTACGAGAGGGATTCATCAAACTGCCCAACCAATTTGGCTTCATGAGCATCATCTCCATTCCTGTTCCTGACTGTGACCTCCAGAGCAATGTCCTTCTGATCACTCAGAGAAATCACCGGCACCCCTTTCTCCCTGAGAGATCCATTTGAAAATTTAGTACCAACTAAGAAACCTTGTATATTGATTGTAAAGTATATGCAATCTAGACTATCAGGGTATATACAGATTTTTGTTTATAACAAATGTTTAATAGCATGTTTAGTAGTAGTAATATATATAAGATCACTATTTATGTTATTAATGCATCATTTTTCACTTGCGATCAGCTGATATATTAGCTGTTAATAGCAGGTGTAAACAGAGCTAAATGAGCGTCTGTGAACTGGTGAGTAGTAGTGTGTGATGTTTTTCTGATACACACAGTGGTAAAGGAGGAAACACATCTTGTTTGGACTCCCTGTAGCAGAACCTGTACTGCAGGTGTAGGTTACTCTGACAGATGTTGTCTGTGCCACAACCCTCCTTCAGGAAGTTCACCTAAGCCAGGAAAGATGGCAAATCAAACCTTTTTTAATGGTACTTTTAATACGTTTTCCTAAATAGCGTGCAGTAAATTGTGGCTATACCTCGGTGATGGTCTTGTTGGGCACAGTGGAGTCTAGTATTGGTGTTAGTTGTGGTAGAGAGCTCTGCCGTTTGCCTCTCTTAGCGCTCTGAATGGCCACAGACACCTCGATAGGAATCGCTCTGAGCTTATCCCTGATGCCTTCCTGAAAACCAGCACATAGCAGATCCCACTCAGTCAACGTGTATTGAAATCAATAACGAAAGCTTAAACAGAGGCTGTTGGAATGTCATAATAATTCCAAAGTTCCTAATTCCAAAATGTGAATTATAGGAATTGTGCACCCAGAAATAAATATCTCGGGTTAGACTTTATTTTAAGGTGCCCTTGTTACAGTGTAATTATGTATATAAGTACTGAGTAATATTAATTAACTACATGTACTTACTATATGGTTAGGGTTTGGCTTAGGGTTACTTGCATGTAATTATGCATAAGTAATTGTTATTATAACAGTAAGTACGTGTAACATGTGTAACAAGGACACCTTAAAAGAAAGTGTTACCAAATCTCGCCAATGCACTGTATAATACAACTGTAGATGTATGATTCTTGTAAACAAAAACGGATAAAGTTAAAACTCTTAAAGTGACAAAGTTAACAGTTCACTGGAGGGGAAGATTTTCATGTTGGTCTGTTCCTCACCAATAGCAATCTCCAATAGCTATATATTTCTTAAATGCATGCTATAGATCTTATTGTGAACCATGCATATGTTTTGGACATCATAATGTTTAATCAAAATGTTATAGCTCAATCTTCTGGCAGAAATGACAGACTTTTCTCTGGTGACATATGCAGGACTTCTCCAATCATTTAATCCACTTAAACCTCACCCCTGCGAGCTCACTTTCATCTGCCTCCATATTTGAGTGCCACACCCACATCTCACAAGCCAATCAACAACAGATGCACAGAACCAAGTCCCCGCCCTCCATGTTTTTTTTTTTGTTTTTTTTTGATAATCAATTAAACTCGGATGTGCAGCAAAATATCTTTCGCTAATTCCGTTTCATCACAACTTTAAAGCTTTATTTACTTGTAGTCTGAGTTTGGTCTTGTAACAGGCTTTCTTGTTCTGTCCTCGTAGCTCCAGAGAGCCGGTCGACTGGAAGTCCTGATCCATCGCACTCTTCTCCAGAAACACAACCCTAGATGGAAGACCCAGCTTCCTGCGGTACCACTCTGCCTCAAGTGTACAGGAAATGGCTGGCAAAATAAAGAAATAAAAAATAAACAAAAACATGTAGAATGTGTGAGCTTCAGACCTCAATACATTTTTATTTCAGTAAACATAGCATCTAGCATCTTATCTGTCAGCATTAATGAACAGAATACATCTGGACTAAATCTTAAAGGTCCCATGACATGCTGCTTTTTGGATGCTTTTATATAGGCCTAAGTGGTCCCTAGTACTGTATCTGAAGTCTCTTTCCCGAAATTCAGCCTTGGTGCAGAATTTCAGCCACTACGAGCCACTCCCACAATGAGCTTTCCTTAGGACGTGCCATTTCTGTGTCTGTAGCTTTAAATGCTAATGAGGAGGAGAGAGGCGGGGCAACTGCCATGCTTCGCTCATTTGCAAGCCATGATGTCTCTCGAGGAAAAAAAAATATTGCGCTCGCCTCGCACGGTAGTAGCTCATTTTCTCATGGGCGGGCCAAATTCTCTGGGCGGGCAAAGCAGAGAAAGGGGAGGTAACCTTTCCCCGTATGACGACATAAAGGGAAGATTCCAGATTGGGCCATCTGAGCTTTCATTTTCTCAAAGGCAAAGCAGGATACCCAGGGCTCGGTTTACACCTATCGCCATTTCTAGCCACTGGGGGACCATAGGCAGGCTAGGGGAACTCATATTAATGTTAAAAAACCTCATAAAGTGACATTTTCATGCCATGGGACCTTTAAGCACTTTTCACATTAAGAACATTAAGTATAAAGATAACAACAATAATGATAACTATATTAGCATTTACACTAACGGATGATAGCCTTCTGTTTATTATGAGCATATGCTGCCATTATGTCGTCTGCTGCTTAAAACCCTCAAGCTCTTTACAATCGGGTGGATTCTGATTGGCTGTCAGTGTTTTACAGTTATTGTTATCATCCTCGGTGGGAACAGCCCTTTAGACTAAATAATACAAAATTATAATAGATAATGATTGTTTGTCAATATAAGAGCATAAACAGTCTTACTGAGTTTGGGGTTGTAGGTGGAGGGCTTTGCTTTATATGAGAAACACGCTTCCACGGTCAAGCTATGAAGGATGCGAGATTAAACACACATTAATATTTCCCACAGCACAGAGTTCCAAATGTCTAGCACATTTATGAGAGATGCTTTCTGAGCTCTTGATTTGTCAGGATCTCACCAAACGCTGTTGCCACATGTTTTCTTCATCAAGTCAATTTCCTTCGGTGTCACCTTGATGTCTTTCTTGATGCTAATAACTGTTTTGGACCTGCACACGAGAGGGATGTTATATAACGCTATAGCATCTCAAAACATCTTTAGGTAATGACTTTGACATGAGAAGTGAGCTATCAGTACCTGTATATGAAAACTGTGTCAGAGAGCGAGCCCACGGCGAGATCAGGGTACGAGTTCTGATCCAGGTCCATGTTTCCAGCCAGAGAATAGCCAAACATCTTAATGTTGTGCTGTTTACCCTCGAGTATCTGCAAGATCAGGTCAGATGTCTTAGTGTTTGTAGACAAAGGTAAGGATGTATTAGTTGTTTAACGGCAAAGACTACCACAAAAAAATATATAAAAACCATATATATATATATACATACTGTATGTACACACACATATATATATATATATATATATATAGACACCATATATAAAAACTCTTATCTTGTATAAGTTCACAACAGAGTTACATCAGACAAAAACAAAGTAGAACCATAACCAAATTAGTTTTAGATATACAATGAAATATCTAATGTATAAAATCAAGTAAGTATCTATTTTTTCGCCAATGTTTTATGCTGAAAATGGAAAACCTTTTTAAAGAGGATAACACTGGAAAATGAGTCTCCTAGTGCCATTTATTCCTTTCAGTTCCACCAATATTTGATCCAAGTAATTTCTCACTGATATGTTCCATTAAAGCTGCAGACAGAAGAGCAAACAGAGAGACAGACAGTGGAGAGAGTCTAACCTGAGCTGGTGTGGTATTGATGCCGTCAGCAGATCCGTGGTAGATGTACACGCTACCAGACCCTGAGTCTGCGTAAGGAGCACCTACTGCAATATCTGAGATACAAGCGGGAAGAATATGAAATAACCTGAACAAACCAAAAGAATTCATTATTTTGCATCCAAAGCTAAAAAATCAACTCCTGCATTTAACCTTCAAAAGAATCCAGATTAATGTCTCCAATGTTCTCCACAGCCAGTCCGAACATGGAGTCTTTCGTTCCATTCAGGCGAGTAGGAGCGACGTCCTTCCACCTTCCAGCCTTATTGATGTAAACGTACACGGCTCCACCCACTTCCTCATCTCTCTGAAAGAACTGCGGTGCACCAACCACAACGTCCTGCCAGCTGGAGGGACAATCAACACAGTTCAGCTGCCCATTCACAATCCACTCACTCATTTTCAGGAGTTACTTTATTTTCAACAGATCTTGTGTCGCCTACCCATCTCCATTCAGGTCCACCACAGCAACATCATATCCAAAGGAGGATGCAAGTCCTGGTCCTTCCAGAACGTGTTCAGGTGTGAGCGTGGTGGACACTTCGCCTTCCTTTCGCAGAAACACCACTGCACCGCTGTGATTGGCTCTCGGCGCTCCTGACACTATGATGAGTTTGCCTTTCTTCGTGATACTGTGGCCGGAATCTAGAGAGAATCCTGTACATATGCGAGATTCAGTGTCACTTCAAAATACAATTACTGACCACAGCACACACAAACACAGGTGTACTGTGCATGGTTCTCACACTCACCTAAGTAACTGTTGGCTGGTACTGGCACTAGATTTGGATCCAGCCGGTTCTCATCCCCGACCTCATAAGGACCATCATCAAACAAGCCCATTTCCAGCAGAGTGTTGTTCTTCTGTTCAACACGCACTATACCTAGAGAATGGATGTGATGGGGTAAGTGCTAAACAACAAGATTTTTGTGATACAGGAAAACAAATGATTGAATAATGGTTATTAGAAATGTGTATTTTATTTGTGCAAACCCATGTGAAAAAGAAGTGTGGTTAATTTTAAATCATTATTTTTAATAATCTTTTGTTGTGCTTTAAAGAAGTACACTTGGTTTGATGTGTTGACTAACATACTAAAGCACATGTAAAGTATTTGATTTTAAAGACATTAATATCTATTATTAGTGTACTAAATTATTTTAATACATGACATACAAGTTTTAATGGAAATGACAGTAAAGTATATTTTAGTTTACCATACATGCTTGTCAGAATATTCCGCAATATTACATAATTTAACCATATTTCAAAGACAATAGAAGTAATTATGAAATTGCATTAACTGCTTAGGTGTGTCAAGAAAAAACACTCTAAATTTAATATAAATAAACTAGGATACATTTTAATTTAATTGCAATTAACACACAATTACGTGTCTGAAAACATTACATCCAATTTGCACTTAAGTATATTATTTTTGTAATAAGTCATTTTTTTCACAATTGTGTGAATTAATAAAACCATGAATGAGAGCTGTTGCAGTGCTCCTCCTCACCGGGGGGGGTCCCCAATCATATAAAACATGTAAGTAAAAACACTGGCTATTTTAATGGATCAGTCCATCATAATAAATCAATTATAGCAGTATGAGGTGTCTGTGAGGTAAGACCTTGCCAAAGGTCAAAACAGTGACCTGTGAGTCACTTCTGCTCTGGTCTCAGCCTCAGATAACACACCCAGACCACACACAGTCCATCTGATGCAGATTCTGCTTCTTTTTATACGTTTTCTGTTAAATAACCTGTACCTTTTAACTTTATGATGGACAGAAATTGTGATTATAAAGCTGACACACATTTTCTGTTTCGGAATGAACCAGACTTCATGGCAACAGTCAAAATCTGGCCATGTGACATTATTTATGGTCTTCAATACCTTACAGAATCTTATCCAGTGCATCTGTGTGTGTGTGTGTGTGTGTGTGTTCATGCATAGCATACAGCATTTTATCTTTTGCATCGAATGTCTTTTCTACCTTTCCAGTTGTACGCGCCTGGTGCTCCAAAGATGACATAATGGTAGTCTTTAGTGAAGGTGGCGGCCAAGCCCTGCTGACAGGCCCCGAATCTTTCATGACCCCTGGTGCGACCATCGCAGAATTTCCAGTTCCCCCCATCCTCGTCTGATTGGCTGTCAATGCTGAGGTCCTGACTGAGCATGTAGCAGCGTCCCGTGATGTCACGCGCCTCTTGGGGTGTATTGGGGAACAACAGACGCTGGTAGCGATGGGCACATGTCTGAGACAGAAAGAAAGAAGCTAGAGTTGTGTGCTGATACTGTATGGTGTCAGATATTGTGTGATAAATAATAAAAGTAATGACACTGTAACTGGATGTCAGGTAATTGGTAGCAATGCTCTTGACGTACCACAATCTTGCCTCCAGGTCCTTGACTCTGAACAGTTACACCCATCCACTGGTTCTCCTTATTCTCCACACGAGCATCAACTGTGAGAATCACCATGAACAGAAACCAAGTCATGATTAATTCAAGATCTATCAGAGAATCCTGGTACTGCTGACTCAATGAGCATTGAAACCAATAAAACAACAAAAGAGCAGTCAGTAGACATCTACTGTACATGCCTGACTTTACATCTCAAATGATATTGTTACATCTCTGGTACAAATAACTTTTGTTTGTCTACGCACCATCATTGTCAAAGTCCACTCGAGTGCAGTCATCGGGATGAGTGGTGATGTCACAGCTGTACAGCCCACCTGTGATGTTTGCTCCCTGATTGGATAAAGCCCTGGCTCTGGGAGCACCAATCAACAATCTGTGCAAAGAAATAAATGAAAATAAAAGAAATGAATCATTTAATTTTTTTCAGCAACTTCAAAAAAAATTGTCAAATTTGACCCAGCACTGCATGTATCCTGCATGTGTGGAAAAAGGCAATCCCAGAATTCACTATGACAAGGTCAGTAAAACATAATGACAACACATAAAAGCACACATAAAAATGTATGTTAAAGTTCATTAAAATTGATGCTATGTAATTTTTGTACTTACTAGAATATTGCGGCAATGACATGCGAATATATGTAAATGTATATGCAAATACATTGAATTAGGGGTGTCACAACATACCAGTATTGATGATCCCTTATGAAAATTAACCATGGTTTTATTATAGTAAAAGTGTAGCAACCATGTTTTATTTTTATTTTTTTGGCATATTGATCACCATTTGTATAATCACAGTTTAACTACAAATACCATGTTTAAAATATGGTTAGTGTAGCAAAACCATGGTTAATTTTCATAAGGGGATAACTGTGATATACATATATATATATATATACAGTGGGTACGGAAAGTATTCCAGCTATTGGGTTGTTTTGACCCAGCGATTGGGTTCAAAACAACCCAACCGCTGGGTCAAAACAACCCAATTGCTGGGTTTGTCCCTTTTTAACCCAGCGCTGGGTTATATTTAAGCCAGCATTTTTTAGAGTGTACTGATATCATGTTGATACTACCCATATTCTAAAATCATAAATAATCCAGTGCCAGTTATTATCTGGTTGAGCCTCCAGCATTGCAGTATTGCGCCTAAACGCTAGTTACCAATCTTCATAAAACAGAAAAAAGAGGGAAAAGCAGTGTGTAGATACTACTGCAGTGCAATATCATCTTAGAGGAGACAATAGATGAAAACCTGGCACTCTAACCGCACCGGAAAAAAAGTTTGTTCACCAGTGTGTTTTTTTCCGATTCTATAAAAAAAGAAAGGGTGTTAGACTGCAGTGTGCAGGAAGTGCCAGTCAACAGAAATGTATTTTTGTACAGATATAGTTACCTCAATGCACTTTTTTTTTAATTCATTGGCAAAAAAAAAATCAATATGAATTTGACTGTTTATTATGAATTATTATTATTATTATCAAAATTTCTAAAATATCATTATCATTAATTCTATTGGCCATGATGATTATGTAGTGAAAATCTGATGCTGTAACAGCCTTAACTGGAATCATCTGTGAGCATTAAGCCACGGTCACACTAGACTTTGAGTACACAACATTTCTATGGATACTGCTAATGGCCTTAATGCAAAGCTGCAATTCTGCAGATTTAAAGTTTGCATTCTTTTAATTCAGCTAAGAAGTCGTACGGCGTCAAACCTCTGTTGGTCAGACGTCTTCATGTGATATGATTTTGCAGGTCAGACTCAGAGTTCAATAAACTTTAACTTTGGAACGCAGTAAAATTCACATGAGCTTGTGCTTCCCGTCTCCAGCATTTGCATACGTATGAATTTAAGTAAATGCAACAAAAACTGTATGACCACCTCCTTTAGTTGAGTTTCTCATTAGCGCTTTAGGTAACGTTTTATTTTAAGGTGTGTTTGTTACACATGCTACATGTACTTACTATTATAATAACAATGAATTATGCATAATTACATGCAAGTAACCCTAAGTCAAACCCAAATCCTAACCCTAACCATATAGTAAGTACATGTAGTTAATTAATATTACTCACTACTTGTATAATTACACTGTAACAAGGACACCTTAAAATAAAGTGTAACCGCGCTTTATTTTACAGTCCTGTTCCACATGTACATACTATGTATTTATTATAGTGATTACAATAACCGATAACTAGGTACTAATGCTGAACCTACCCCTAAACCTAACCTTAACCTATGTAGGAATCTTATATTACCCAGTACTTCCTTAGGTAAGTACATGTAAGTTCACATACTGTAAAATAAAGCGTAACCAGTTTCTCGAGGTTCACATGAGGAGCACTATTTGCTACCATAGACGATTTTGGAACAGAGTCATAGATTGGTAGCAAGACTAAACACAGGAAAAACCTTTTACATTAATTATGACGTAATTATCAGTCTTTCATAAATGAGACTGGGGCTTTCTGATGAAGAGGATCTGACAGATTATTTCATCAGCGGGTGTCTTCCTGTTTCCAACACCCATCAGCCAGCTGCACCAACTCAATTATTTACATACACACACTGCTGCCATCACACCAGAACAAAAGACACACATAGGAGTAGATTTGGGGAGAAACCCCAATAATGTGTCTTTTCTGAATCAACGTTGAAAAAAAAAAAATATGAGATGCTGATAAAATGAAGTGTTTCTGAGATCTCATGAGTCATGCAAGTGATGTTGCACTTTTAATGACTGTTTATCAAAGCATAAATAGTGTTTGTAAAGTCTGAAGAGAGAAAAAAAACTGAATACATATGAAATCAATAACTGACTCACCCAAATATCTGCAATGTATCACACTACATAAATAAACCTCAGACTTATTATGACCATATAGTAATCTAATGGGTAACCAATCCCTTTTTCCACAATTCATTCCAGACACACCTTTCCTGAGAGAAGGACAATACTTTCACTGCCTACTACCACAACTATAGTGGTTTGATTTTTTCAATGAATAGTCTTTTTTAATTATTTACTAGACAGATTTACAGTGAGTCAGCATGACATTGAGGCACACAGCGGCAGTTTGCTTAGCTTCACACACAGCGGTTCAGAACAACTGGCTTAGCAACTGTTATTCTGATGAAACGTTTCCAGAACATTCGTCTTATTTGACAACGCTTATGAATCAACTGTTCTGGGCACTTTAGTAAATAAAAAAATGAAAAACTTGGCTCTGTCAGACTTACAGTCAACACAGGGAACATACTGTAAGACTAATGAAGAAATAAAATAAAAAAATGTTGGCATCAATTTTTTTTTCCAGGCAGGGTTCTGTATGTGAGTGAGCATGTGTGTGTGTGTGTGTGTGTGTGTGTGTGTGTATCTGACTTCACTATATTAGAGAAAAATAACTGAAAAACGTCCTCATGAATGTCCATGAAACTATCACAGCTATGCACAAAAAAGAAGAACCACGTAGACATTCATAGAGTCTGGTTAAGTTCAGTGTAGTGAACGGTAGACCGGACGGTGAGTGACTGGAAGGAGCGTGCTGTTGAATGGTGACTTGATTGCAGACGACAGGTGCGGGGAATCAGAACTCAGGTGAGCGTTGTCTGGTGTAAGTTGTGGCTGGTGATTGTGGTGATTCGCTGACATTACCCCCTCCTCCAGGGGTGACTCCTGACGCCCTCAAGCAGCGACGACCACGGCCTCTGGGTGTGGGACAATTCGGATGGGTCCGATGGAACTCTTCTAGCAGTATGGGGTCAAGGACATCGTCCCGGACCAGCCAGGATCTTTCCTCTGGTCCATACCCTTCCCAATCTACCAGGTACTCCAGCTCCGCCGCCGCGAATCCAGAATATCCATGACCTGATAGATGGATGGCTGTTTTAGGATCTCTGGAGGAGGAGGTTCATCTGGTACCGTGGGTTCTTATGCAGAAGGAGAGAAGTTGGAGCTGGTAGGTGACCTCATTAATCTGCCTCTGTATCGGGAACGGACCGATGTAACGGGGACTCAGCTTCTTGCACGGCAGATCCCGAGTTTACAGCCATACCTTCTCTCCAGGCTGGTAAGTCGGAGACGAGGAACGCCGGGCGTCAGCAAAGGTTTTGTGCCTCCGCACTGCATGTTGAAGGTGGACATGAGCTGAGTACCACACTCTCTCGCTCGCTCGAAACCAGTATGCACTGGAAAGGCGTGAGTCCAGTGGAGTTTCGTCAGAGGGAGTTTTGTGCATACATAACGCCCGAGTTCCTGGATCTTGCGCTCAGTCTGGCCGTAAGTCTGGGGATGATAACCGGAGGACAAGCTCACTGTGACCCCTAGCAGTCGAAAGAACGCTTTCCAAACGTGGGAAATTAATTGCGGCCCCCGGTCCGAGACGATATCCTCTGGGACTCTGTAATTCCTGAAGACATGTGTGAATAGAGATTCGGCAGTTTCTAGCGTCGTGGGTAATCCCTTGAGGGGAATCAGTCTGCAGGCTTTCGAAAAGTGATCTACTGCCACTAGGATGCAAGTGTTGCCTTCAGAGTTGGGTAAGTCAGTTACGAAGTCAATTCCCATGTGAGACCACGGCCGCTGAGGTATGGGTAGTGGCATGAGCTTGCCTACGGGGAGGTGACGAGGAGATTTAGACATGGCACAGACTGAGCACCCTCGGACGTATCTGATGACATCACGGGACATACTGGGCCACCAGTACCAAGCTTGGAGGAGCGAGAGGGTCCGTTGGCTGCCTGGATGTCCAGAGCCTGGTACATTGTGAACTGAGCCCAGAAGGGGTAGTCATAGAGATGTGGGAACATACTTCTTCCCTTTTGGGCCTCCCAGCGGAGCCGGTTCGGTGAGAGTGGCGGCTTGGATGTCCTTGTCGATGTTCCACACAATGGGGCTTACAATCAGGGCTGGAGGGAGAATTGGCTCAGGTTCTGAGGGTGAATCTGATGAATGCATACGTGACAATGCGTCCGCCTTACAGTTGCGATTGCCAGGCCGGTAAGTGATGGTGAAGTGAAACCTACTGAAGAACAGCACCCAGCGGGCTTGGTGAGGATTGAGTCTTTTTGCATCTCGGAGATATTGAAGGTTCTTGTGGTCAGTAACAAAGGTAAAGGGATTATTAGCTCCCTCCAGCCAGTGCCGCCACTCTTCCAGGGCCAGCTTGATAGCGAGTAGCTCTCTGTTACCAGTATCATAGTTTTGCTCCGCTAGGGTCAGTTTCTTGGAATAGTATGCGCAAGGCTGGAGGCGTGGAGTCTCACCATACAGTTGTGACAACACGGCCCCAACTCCGGTGGAGGATGCGTCCACCTCCACCACAAACGGGACCTGAGGATCGGGATGACGAAGGATAGGG